TTAATCTTAGTTCGAGATTTTTACCAGTTTGACCGTAATAAACTTTATCGCAAATTTTACAAGGAATCTTATAGCCCACATCCATCAGCATTTTGGGGGGAATTCTTTAATCAAAGTTTTTTTACTGTATCAAGATTTTTAAATACAACTTTAATTTTTAAAAGTCTTAAGAAGAAAAGGCATATAAACCCAAAAGTTTTCATGGTAAGGGAGAACAACAATATTTTTATTTGAATAAGGCTGGTTGCCCTTTTTTGGATTATAAAAAGTGTTCCTAGCAACTTTAAAAGATTTATCAATTACATTTCTTGGGTATTTTAAAATCATTCCCTATTTCATAAATTTTGGATATTTCCTCCATCTATAAAACCAGGACTACAAATTGGGTAAGCTCTCAAAAACATTGATGGGGAAAACAGACAGTTTGACTCTATCTTGATGCGGGGGAATAATAGTGGACATAGGAACAGTTATTTGTTGGTTTTCTGTAAATTTTAAATTTGAATTCATTTATTACCCTTAATAATTAAAACATCTAGAAAGGCAATGAGTTATTTTCTTCAAACTCGACAGTAAAGTTTATAGAAGGGACAAGCTATTTAATTTTCCAAAGAAAATGGTGTATATCTACATTTTTGGGCATAGACACAAAATATCATCAACATATCTGAACCATTTAGCTCTATTAGGGAGGATTGTGTTAAGAAACCCTTTGTTTCAAAAATTCCATGTATGGTTACTAAGAACAGGTGAAAGAGGTTTTCCCCTACCAAATTTTGAGTGTAAAAACTTATCATTAAATACAAATTTTGCATCAACAATGCAAAGTTTAATGAGTTTAATGATAGTAGGAACTGGCAATGGTAAATCATAGTTAACGATTTCTTCAGATAAGAAATTAATAAATCATAAACAGGAACTTTCGTAAACAAGGGGAAGTAACTTCAAAACTATCCATGTTAAAATCATTTAAGTCAGTCAGGATGTTTAATTTATCAACCAAGTCTATGTTGTTTTTAACATTAAAGTTAGAAATTTTGCCACAATAGGGCTCCCAAAAAATCGACAAGCCATTTGGATAATTTATATGAAACTGACCCTATGGAGCTAATAATTGGTCTGACTGGATTCCCTGGTTTGTGTGTTTTTATTAGTCCATACATGTAAGGTAAAGATGGATTAGTGGAAGTAAATTGTTTGACTAATTCATCTTTGCCTTTCAGTAGAAGTTTTATAGTTTTATTGAAATTGCTGTTAACGGTTTCTAGGGGATTTTTCCTAAGTTTAGAATAGGTTTCAGTATCATCTAAGAGATTATTCATTTTTTCTTGGTAATCATTTTCTTTCATAATTACTATTGCATTTATTTTGTCTGCTTTAGTAAGGCTTAATTTTTTAAAAAATTGTTTAAATGAACAAGTTCTGCCCAAGTCTCTTTTACCCAATAGACTCCTTGACATGAGAGATCGTCCTTTTGATGATTTTATGAGAATTATTCTTCAGAAACATATTGAAATAACTAAAATACAGGAGAAGGAAGCATTCAAAATATTGAGAAACAAAAAATACTCTTTTAATCAGGCCATTCCATCAGAATGGAAACACAGTATGTTGGATCATTGCTATAATAAACTCAGAAGAATTTGTAATGAACTCAAGAGCAAACTACAAAGAAAATTAGACATTTTAATTGAAAATAGTGATTGGACAAAGCATGCTAATAACAATTTTGTAATTAACTTATCAGATGAAATTTTAGACAAACATACAACTGCTGCTCTAGGTTTTGGCCTAAGTTTTGCAACTTCAAAAAAAAACTTAATAATGTTGAAATTGCAAAAGCCTTTTGTAACTTTGAAAATTTTCTGATTTATCCTCTGATGGAAATTAATATTTGTAAAGGAATGGTATACAGCTCTATGTTTAAAACCAAACATTCCCAATTGCCCTCAAGATTCTTTAAGTCTTATGATACACTTAATAACAATAAAAAATTTTTCGCCTTACTAAAGCAGCAAAATAAATGCAATAGTAATTTTGAAAGAAAATTGATTACCAAGAAAAAATGAATAAACTCTTAGATGATACTGAAACCTATTCTAAACTTAGGAAAAATCCCCTAGAAACCGTTAACAGCAATTTCAATAAAAAATATAAAACTTCTACCGAAAGGCAAAGATGAATTAGTCAAACAATTTACTTCCCCTAATCCATCTTTCCTTACATGTATGGACTAATAAAAAACACACAAACCAGGGATTTCCAGTTTAGACCAATTATTAGCTCCATAGGGTCAGTTTCATATTTAAAATTTTCCAAATGGCTTGTCGATATTTTGAGCCCTATTGTTGGCAAAATTTCTAACTTTAATGTTAAAAAACAACATAGACTTGGTTTTATAAATTAAACTCCTTGACTGACTTAAATGATTTTAACATGGTTAGTTTTGATGTTACTTCCCTTTTTTAGAAAGTTCCTGTTGATGATTTATTAAGTTTCTTATTGAAGAACTCGTTAACTATGATTTACCATTGCCAGTTCCTACTATCATTAAACTTATTAAACTTTGCATGTTGATGCAAATTTGTATTTTTAAAGATAAGTTTTACACTCAGAAGTTTGGTAGGGGAAATCCTCTTTCACCTGTTCTTAGTAACCTATACATGGAATTTTTTGAAACAAAGGTTGCTTCAACACAATCCTCCCCAATAGAGCTAAAATGGTTCAGATTTGTTTATGATATTTTGTTTTCTTATGCCCAAAAATGTAGATATACACCATTTTCTTGGAAAATTAAATGCTTAGCCCATTCTATAAACTTTACTGTCGAGTTTGAAGAAAATAACTCATTGCCTTTCTAGATGTTTTAATTATAAGGGTAATAATGAATTCAAATTTAAAATTTACAGAAAAAACCCACAAATAACTGTTCCTATGTCCACTATTATTCCTCGCATCAAGATTTGAGTCAAACTGTCTGGTTTTCTCATCAATGTTTTTGAGGCTTTACGAATTTTTAGTCCTGAGTTCATAGATGAGGAAATATCCAAAATTTATGAAATAGGTAATGATTTAAAATACCCAAGAAATGTAATTGATAAATCTTTTAAAGTTGCTAGGAACACTTTTTATAATCCAAAAAAGGGCAACCAGCCTTATTCAACTAAAAATATGTTGGTTCTCCCTTACCATGAAAACTTGGTTGATATGCCTTCTCTTCTTAAGACTTTTAATATTAAAGTTGTATTCAAAAATCTTGATACAGTAAAAAAAACTTTTGATTAAGAATTCCCCCCAAAATGCTGATGGATGTGTCTATAAGATTCCTTGTAAAATTTGCGATAAAGTTTATTGCGGTCAAACTGGTAAAAATCTCGAACTAAGATTAAAACAACATAAATATAGCATTAGAACTGGACAAGATTCCAATGCTCTATTTATTCATGTAAGAGATTTTAACCATCCAATTGATTTTCAAAAAGTTGAGAAAGTAGTATCAAGCAAGTCCATGGTCGACAGGAATATAATTGAATCTTGTTTCATAAAAAGCAGTTTTGACAATAATATGAATATTTCCTTTGGTTTATATAAATTAGATCCATTTATAATTAATAGAATTTGGGTAGAATTTAATAATACACTGGACAAATAAATAGCTTGGGGGTGAGTTTTGCAAAGGACCTGTCCAAGTTGGCTCGCCGCGCGTCACGTGTTTAACCGTTGTGGGATCTGATAGTGAGGTGCTGGCCGACCCCTTATATAGCTTCCTTGGATGCTTCACTTTCATAGTTCCTTGATAATGTGAGTAGTCACGAAAGCGCTTGGAATTTCTCTATTCTTTCAGAGTGGTTGTTTTGCATATTTTGAAATCACCTGTTTACTGTGATCTTATTGCATATATATATATATATATATATATATATATATATATATATATATATATATATATATATATATATATATATAAATTATATATATATATATATATATAATATATATATATATATATATATATATATATATATATTATATATATATATATATATATATATATATATATATATATATATATATATATATATATATATATACGATGGGGTCCACCTCTGGTTTAAATTGTGGGACCCATATATATGTCGTGCCGAATATGTAAAACTGGTCAATTAGCAAGAACTCATTCAAAATAAAGTCAGTCTTTTCTAAAATTTTCTCTTATACGTTTAAAGATATATTTTTTTCATTAATATTGATGTAAAAATTTATAATTTTGCACCAAAAGAAACTTAGAAAACTTACCTAACCTTATTATAACAAGAACAATTTATTTTAGCGTAACCCAACTAAATATATTTTATATAAGTTTACAATAATTTAATAATAAAGAAACACAACGAAATATATTTTTTTCTTTAGATTCAGAATGATTTTCGCGAAATTATTGCATACACAAATTTTCACTTATCCTGTATGGCAAGATGAGCGTTGCTATTTAAGCCAAGATCGCAAGTTCTGCCTATTCGGCACTACATATATATATATATATATATATTTGTTGTTTATGCAATAATTTCGCCAAAATCATTCTGAACCTAACGAAAAAATATATATTTCACTGTGTTTGTTTAGTATTAAATTATTGTAAACAAATGTTAAATATATTTAGTTGGGTTTGGATAAAATAAATTGCTCTTGTTATAATAAGGTTAGGTAAGTTTTTTAAGTTCCTTTTCGTGCAAAATTATTAATTTTTACATCAACGTTAATGACAAAAATATATCTTTAAACGTTCAAGAGAAAATTTTAGAAAGGACTTAATTTTAAATGAGTTCTTGCTAATTGACCAGTTTTACATATTCGGCACGACATGTGTATATATATGTTATATATATATATATATATATATATATATATATATATATATATATATATATATATATATATATATATATATATATTTAAATACACATACATACATACCTGACACGTTGCTGCCTCCACAGCACCTCGTGTCAACATCCCAGGCGGGTCTGAGCTGCATGTCCGGAGCGGCAGCCCGGTCACTATTAAGTGTGTTGTCAGCCACGCCCTCCATCCTCCCAACTACGTATTCTGGTATCATGTAAGTAGGAGAGGACCTGGTTCTTGTGAGAGCAATAACAATAATAAGAAGAAGAATAGTGATACAGTGGAACCTCTACTTGCGAGTTTAATCCGTTCCATGACCTTGCTCGCAACTGGATTTGCTCGTTTGCAGAATCAATTTTCCTCATTTAAATTAATTGAATTGCAATTAATCCGTTCCAGTGGAATTCTGTACTTCAATAATTTCGCTAATATCAACTCTACGGCTTATTTATCTGTCTCACTTCATCTAATATGACATAATAAACAATATAAATAACATAGAAACCTGATATATACTCTAAAATGAATAAAATATATCATTCATGTAGTAGTATGGGCGGTGTAGGCGGTGGACGAGAGTTTGTCTGAACACCGGGCAAAATTCTTCATGAATAATTTCGCTAATATCATCTATACGGCTTATTTATATATCACAGTTCATCTAATATGACATAACAGACAATATAAATAACATAGAAACGCGATATATACTCTAAAATGAATAAAATATGTCATTATGTAACAAGTGGAGGCGGCCACAACCACTCCCTCTTTGTTGTGGTAAACACTGCCATCTAGTGACGGCCTTTTGAAGCCGTCTATTATTATAATTGTTATATGTAGTACATTATTATTATATATGTATTATTATTATACATATTATATTACTATTATTATTATTGTATTATATTATTATTATTATTATTATTATTATTATTATTATTATTATTATTATTATTTTTATTATTATACATATTGTTATTATTCATATTATTATTATACATATTATTTATTATTATTATTATTATTATTATTATTATTATTATTATTATTATTATATAAATTATTTGTAATTTTTATTCACACAAAAATATAAGATTTACTGTTATTCCTTATTGCAATAATTGTATAAATATGTCAACCCATTCATGACTGCATATTGGAATGGACAGTGACGTCATTTGTTTACACTGAAACAGCCAAGCAATGGACCATTTCTCCTAGGTTGAGCTCAATTTCAAGGCACTTTTCTTCATGAAAGCAATCAAAATCATATCTATTTCTGTAATATATCTTCCATTCTATCAAATGAGACCAAAAAAACGAGAATACAACCATAAAAACAATTCGAAATTACCACTAAGGGGTGGCTAATTGCTGAGAAGTGAACTCCATTATTTATGCTTAGATTTCTTTCATTTTTGGTGTACATTAAGAAGCATCTTTCCATCATACATTGTCCAAGTTTCAATAAGATAGTCCAACAAACAAATGAAATACAATTCCCGAGATCAAGAGCAAGAGCCCCTCACCAGTGTCAAGGAGCCTGCCTTGAGGTCTGCTCGCATGTGGAAATTTTGCTCACCTATGGAAGCAAAAAATCGACCCATCGACTGCTCGTATTTGAAAAAAACTCGCACGTGGACACGCTCGCAAGTAGAGGTTCCACTGTAATAGCAATGAGAGTTTTGGAAATATAATAATAATAATAATAATAATAATAATAATAATAATAATATTATTATTATTATTATTATTATTATTATTATTATTATTATTATTATCATAATTATTATTATTATCAAGTTGTAGTACTATTTACCATCATCTCAACAACCACCACCATTACTGCCCACATCCAACCACCATCACTACCTATATTTCACCGCCATTCATATCTCACCTCCTACCACCCACAGGAGAACGCCAGGGTTCTTCAGAACTCCTGGACAGGGGTTGAACAGACTCCTCTCAGACGGGTGTCTGAAGAGTCGAGTGTAGCCGCTCTCACCATCACCTCTGTCAGTCATGCCCACACAGGCAACTACACCTGTGCTCCCGCCGCTCTCAAATCTGTGTCCGTCACCCTCCACGTTCTCAACGGTAAGAAATCTTGCAATAAGCAGATGAGTGGCTTGAGCTTCCACCAATCCTTGCACTGAATAAACACAAGGGTTTATTACAGTGCTGTTCAACCTAGGTAGAGAGTACACCCCAGGGTGGACAGCAGTTTTAGGGCGGATGGAAGGGTGGACAGGGTTTGAAAGTAAATATACGTAAGCCTCTCTATAAGTCATTCTTTGCACCCAAGTCATGTATCTAGAGACGCTCTAGGTACATGACTTCGGTGCAATTTTACATGTACGTCAAGGGTAATATTCTATTTCAATGGCAAGTTACGACACAACGTGTTGATAAATTCCCGTGTATGATCAAATCTCAGCTAGGCATTGGTTAATTTTGTTTGCTTGTGAGTTCTGATGAAGTGAAAGTTTGTCGTCATTGTTCCAGCTGATAGCAATGTACAGCAACAGCCAAGTCAATGAATTACAAAAAAAAAATGCATAATTATATCTATCATTCTTTAATTTGATATTCGCTAATCAAAATAAAATTCGTTCTGCATTGTGAGTTACACATTCAATTTTACTGCAACGCATAAATGGTAAATAAAGGATGAAATAATATTATATATGCATATTCCACGCACAGTTTTAAGAGCAGGTATGATAGGGCTCATGAGGCCAGGTTCAGTGAGTAATCATTCATGAGTAGTTGAGAGGCGACTACTCAGATACATGAGAACAGAGGACGCAGTTACTTGTCCCAGTCTCTGTTTGATGCTGTTGAGGTCAATAGAATTTTTTTTTTCCTCTGCTTGACCGAAGAAGTTTTATTCTTGGTGAGAACGAGTATCATGTAAGCTTTTGTTGACTTCTCATTTTCGTATATATAGAGGTGATTCTTTTCTTCAACTGTAATGAGATGTTTTCATTTTTCCATGTTTATATTCATTTATATTTATCTCTATATCGTTATTATTTTTATTTATCTTTATTGTCTCTAATTTCACGATGCAACTTTATCTTCAAAATAACATGAAGGATTTAAGACTAGCATTACTCTTTAAAACGATCTTGCAGCTCCTCTACTGCTGGGACTGCTCCAATTGCCAAAAAAAAGCAGATTATCATTATATTTAGTGTTTATATACTGGCATCAGTTGAGGGACGTGCAGCAGACGAAGGCATTGTCACTGGTAGGCGGGATTCCCCAGTGGAAAGTAGGTCATACCCGAGGGATGGGCCAGGAGTAGGCAAGGAGATTGTGGAGATGTCTCGGAACCAAGATTCCATGATGCTGCTATGTCTGACAAGTTGTTCATGAATGCTATACAATACCGACTGATGTATAATATCTGCTGCACGTCTCTCATCAGTATACCTGTAGGGACGCGTCAATACTGCAGGCATCCTACAGTGCATGAGGAACAGGAAACATAAGGGTTGATTAGAGTGTAGAGCAGCTGCAGTTACTTGGATAAAAAGCCCTCCACCAGCAGCAGAGTATCTTCTTTGTAGAATATGCCAAGCAGAATACCAATATGAACACGTCAATCAGATCAAATTAGAGGAAAGATAATAAGAGAGTAAAAAGCTGTATGTCTGTAGTGCAATGTTCAAATATATTTGGTAGTAATTTTAGGAATTCATATAATTTCAACAAATATCATGCAAGAACGTTTTCTGAAAATATTATGCTATTCTTCTGATTTCATTATAAAGAAGTGTCATCAGATTTTTTTTATACGTAACATTAAACCCTTATCACTTTTTTTATCAAGGTGATTTATTAGTATAATAACTTTCACTTATATTCATTTTTTGCGCAATACGAAAATTAATTTAATCTAAAACATGTAATTATCTGAACTTTATTACTACATTCATTTTCAGAATAATAGATTCAGGTTTATTTTTCGAATGTTTTTCTTTTTATTGTTACGAGAAAATTTGGGTTTCTCATTTTCATAGTTTCGTCTATTTCTTACAGGTGAGCGTCCTGCAGCCATGCAACACGGCTCCAACCCAGCATCCAGGCCACACCTCAGCATCTTCATCTCCTCCATCTCTGTCCATCTCTCTTATCTCCCTGTCCTTCCTCTGCTCTATGATCCGCTACACCGGTGATGGCAACAACTGGTGTTGTTATAATTGTAAAGCCTGATTTGCTTTGTATTTTGTATTCAGTGGTGCAACGATGTCATTTTTGTATCCTGTATTATACACTGTATGGATAGACTATTTCTTTCTTCCTCTTTATAATGTGGCTCTGGTGGTGGGGTAAAATAGGTATCCTGCCCAGAAAATATATTTTATGTGTATAACGTGAACCTCATCTTAAAATATATGTATATATTATATCGAATACTTCCAGCATCACATGAGAGCCAGTGACTCTGTATTTACAGAGGCCCCTTGTAAACATTGTAAATATAACAAATAAAATATCAAAGATTCGCTATTGTGTCAAGCTTCAATGTTATATTGTAAATTACAGCAGTTATATCCTGACCAGAAGACCATGTGAGAAACGTACCAGAAAATATAGGGAATTAAGAACCCAACATATTACAGTTGATCCTGGGAGCACAACAAAAAGTTCCGAGAGGTGTATAAATAATTATACTTTCTTGGTGGTAGTATTGATACCTTCTTAATTATGTAATAACCCATTGAGTGATCAAGCAACTATTGGATTACTAGTCTTGGGCATCAGTAATTAAGCAACCACTGACTTACCAGTTCTGGGCATTAGCGATTAAGCAACTTCTGGCTTATCGGTGCTGAAGATCAATAATTAACCAACCAGAACTGGGAATCAGTGATGAAATAACCGCTGGTATCGTGGTACCTCAGGTGTTACAGCAACTAACCACTGAGTATGAGTACAATCTTTCTCACACAGTGCGTCTGCATTTGTATTATATTTTAAGATACTGGAACCGCTGATGTGATACTGCGGATGCTGTGCATCGCTCAATTAAGTCAAGCTAAATACCGTCTGGCTTGGCCGGTAAGTGAACGGAGTGAACACATTGAAATATCTTTACATAACAGGTTATCTGAACGACCGAGGTAAGAGTTTTACGTCCCCAAAAAGGTATAGCTATATACTCAGAGATATAGTATACTAATGTTACACACCTCACAACTAATCCGCAAACTGAACCATTCGTTCATCCTGGACCATCACCAAGTTCAAATTAGTGATGGTCCAGGATGAACCAAAATGTCGTCTAAAGACTTTATCTGCAATATTGTAGGTTGGAAGAATTACTGTAGTCACAGTATTGTGGCTTTTATTCTTCTTTATGCTACACTACTTACAGCGAAGACTTCTGAACCGGAATAATCAACATACAAGTATTCCCCGCCCACTTTACCAGTTTGTTCAGTATATCTGAATCGCAGCAATTATCATAATAAATGTACATGTTCCTGTCATATATGTAAGTACCTGGTACACACACACACACACACACACTATATATATACATATTATATATATATATATATATATATATATATATATATAATATATATATATATTAATATAATACAAACTTGTAAAAATAATCAAATATATTTTCGTCCAACAAAGTTTAAACTCGCATTACAAAAATCCTAAATATAGCTGTAGCCCCTTATTAGAATTTATTTTTTAAACACTCTATAAGTATCAGAGACTCCTATCAGTATTTGTTTATTCTATCCAAAATACTATAAATCTCAAAAATAGATAAAAAAAATCGGTAATTACTCTTTTCCCCTGACAAAAAGACACACTCCTCACTTAAAACTCCACAAATTCTTCTAATAAGATTACTCTTCAGTCACCAATATAGGTTTGCAAATTTCTTTTTATCTTCAATTTATATATATATATATATATATATATATATATATATATATATATATATATAATATATATATATATATATATGTCGTGCCGAATAGGCAGAACTTGCGATCTTGGCTTAAATAGCAACGCTCATCTTGCCATATAGGACAAGCGAAAATTTGTGTATGCAATAATTTCGCCAAAATCTTTCTGAACCTAACGAAAAAAATATATTTCACTGTGTTTGTTTAATATTAAATTATTGTAGACAAATCTAAAAATATATTAGTTGGGTTAGGCTAAAATAAATTGTTCTTGTTATAATAAGGTTAGGTAAGTTTTCTAATTTTCCTTTTGGTGCAAAATTATAATTTTTTTAACATCAACATTAATGAAAAAAATATCTTTAAACGTATAAGAGAAAATTTTAGAAAGGACTTAATTTTAAATGAGTTCTTGCTAATTGACCAGTTTTACATATTCGGCACGACATATATATAATATATATATATATATATATAATATATATATATATATATATATATATATATATATATATAAATATATATGTATATATATATATATATATATATATATATATTATATATATATATACATAAATATATGTATATATATATATATAATATATATATATATATATATATATATATAATATCATAAATATATGTATATATATATATATATATATATATATATATATATATATATATATATATAAATAACTGGAGAAATCTACCTGGAAGGAGTTCTGGGGGTCAACGACCCCGCGGCTCGGTCCATGATATATACTTATTTTTTTAACGCACGGGCCGTCCCCCACGGACGTAGGGTGACCCAAAGAAGGAAAAAGATTTCATCATCTCTCTCTTCGCCACTATCTTGCCAGAGGCGCACCAGTACTGCAATTCAGATGACCCTCCAAATTGCAAATATCTGCTTCCTCTCCAGAGTGCAGATACTGTACTTTCCCCTTCCAGGGCTGAAGTTCAACTAACCGGTTTCCCAAATCCATTTATAAATGTTACCTTCCTCACAATCCAACAGCACGTCAAGTCATAAATACCATTTGTCTCCACTCTTATCTAGCACGCTTACAGACGCCTGTTGGATTTCCAAGCCTCTCGTATACAAAACCTCCTTTACGCCTCCCTTCAACATTTACTAGGACGACCCCTATGGTGTGTATGTGTGTGTGTGTGTGTGTGTGTGTGTGTGTGTGTGTGTGTGTGTGTGTGTGTGTGTGTGTGTGTGTGTGTGTGTGTGTGTGTGTGCGTGTGTGTGTATGTGTGTGTGTTTATACCCACCATAAATGTATTTACCTGCTATATATGCATGTATCTGCCAAATATGAAAGCATGAGAGCATTTTCTGTACATACAGCTACTTACCATATATGCTGGTATGTGTCGTACATGTGATACCTACTATACCTGCAGGAATGTGGAGTGTATCGGCTACCTAGTTGGCAAAGTGTGTCACATATTCCCTATGTATGCTGCTATCATTTGAATGTATCTGTCAGGTATGTGAACTTTTTTTACTTCCTTGCTGTAACATTTGAAATATGCAACAGGTGGACGGCAGGTCAATTTCCACCTGGGATCTAGAAGAAAACAGATTTCAATTAGTGGCATTGGAAAGGTAAGGATATTCTATGTGATATATATGGAAGATATAGAATATTCTTGGCTGGATACATGTCAAGCAATAGCCTCTCTGTTCATCGGTAGTGATTCATTCGTCAGGAAACAGTGCGAGTGTCTCCCGACAATGGTATTATGTCAAGTGGCCTGTAATTTGTCAAGCACCCGCTGGCCTACCCCAACTGGGTTTTACGCTTCATTTAAAATCCTGAAGGTCATTGCTTAGTAGTGTATCCTAAGATGATACTCTTACTGGTATCCGATTTTTTTTATATATGTTCTGGTTGTGATGTAAGGGATAAACGGCAGGTAAAAGATATGATCTATGGAATAGTGTGGATGATGTGAAGGATAATTCAAAATATAAAGAAATGAGTCAAGACAGATAATTATAATGTGTACACACTCCAATACTCAAACAACAATGAGCATATGTTTACATTTTCCTCGCCGTTTCTTGACCCAAACCCCTATCCTTCCTCGCTGGGTTCTGAACCAGAGTAAACTACATAATCTTACCTGTCAAAACTTGTAAATTTTACTATGAAACAACAAAGAAAAAATTACAAGCTAATACTTGTTTTTACTTTGTTTTAATAGTAAGCGTAAGATAAATATTAGTTCCTGTATCGTACAGATTTTTTTTTTTTTTAATTTTTGAGTAAATCAGACCTTCTATATACAAAGTTTCGGCAGTACAACATTTTTCCTTTGTTTCAATTCTTTGAAATCACGGCGGAGTATCACATTTAAGGATTCCGATCTTGGGGAACAGTAACCATTTCAGATACATTAAATGTTGTCAATGCTAAGTTAGTCTCAGAGAACAAAATCTTGTTGCCCCTCCGCACATTAACCTTGGTCTAATCAAACAACTGGTCAAGGCAAGGGACAAGAATAATTAATTTTCTCGATATCTATTAGGAAAGTTTCACAAAGTAAATGAAACCAGGATTAGGGATGGTGTATTTATGTTAAAAAAGTCACTAGTTTGTGGCTGACATTAATTTTCAGGTTTTATCAGCCGGGCATTCGTTCATGAAAATCAGTAATAAGTTTTATGGCAGACACAGACGTCAGGTACATGGTACTAGTTGATAAATCACTGCAAAGTTCAGATGACGACTTGGCTGCAACATATCTCGCAAATCTCATTTCCTTCACCCACATTTGTTAGTGACGCGAGTGATGAACACGGAGAACCATCCGTCAAGATTCTGCAGTAATGGAAACACACTACAAAGTTTAATGGAATCCCGCAGTGCTTGCTGGTTGCTGCTGGATGTTCAAACGAGACGACAGAACCAGACACAACATTTTTAAAATGTTTGCGTTGATTATTGATAATGTAACATTCATCGCACATATTAATATGTGATTCTGATACACTTATAAATCTGTTTTTCTTCTTTCTTAGTTCTACGTGGGAATTTTGTATAAACATGGCAGGATGAAGCCTCTAAATATACTCTATAAAACAATGTTATTTTTCAAGAAAATGTGATGTGCGACGAAAATGATTATTTTCATTTTCTTAACGACCATTATTGATTTAATGAATCAGACATGAAATGGCGCATATATATTTTTAAATATTTTTTTGAGCAGCGACATTATTGCATTCGTACAAAGTGCTAAAACCGTAGGGAGTCATACAGTATCTGGGGAATAAGAGACAATCAGGATTGATTCAAGAAAAGGGAGTGTAGCTCCAGTTACTTCGATCAAGAACCCTTAACCATCCTCAATTTATTTACTACAAGTACATGTACATGGTATACAGGCTTAGCTGACATCAATGACATACTAATATATAGAAAGCCCCTTGTTATGCTGAGCATTTCGGGCAAATTAGGTCAGTGTCCCAGGATGCGACTCACACCAGTCGACTAACACCCAGGTATCCATTTTTACTGATGGGAGCATAGACAACAGGTGGAAAGAAACACGC